CGCAGAGATGAGGGGGCCCGTCAGCCGCCGAAAACTGTGGAGGGAGCCGAGAATAAAAAAAAAGCCTGCAGGCACTGCAGGGGGCAGCCCTGAGCCTCGGCCGTGAGGACCCATCAGACAGCCGCCAGCAGCTGCAGATCGGCTGAGAGAGGAGACTCTGTATGCGGTAGCTAGATCTGCCGGCAGCGACCCCACCTTATGCGGCACCCGTGACGGGCCCCCTGAAGGCCGCGGGCCCTCGGGCAGTGCCCGACGGACCGAATGGTCAGTCCGCCCCTGATTTGGAGACAGCTCTAACATAAAGGGAAGCAAAGTCCTGCCTCTACCAAGATGGCTTCTTCCACACAAGGAGACAGGCATGGTAAGTCACTCCCGAGTAAAATATCAGCTGCGGGGAGATCACAGCCAATACTGATGACTGATCCTTTGTCCTGTACCTGCCTTTTTTTTGGGGGGGGGCACAACCTCCACAGCTCAATTAGTTTTTAATTCCATGAAATGATAATAAACTCTACTAATTACAGAATGATACCACTTCTGCCTTGCAGCACTGGGGTCCCTTGTTCGAATCCTGGTCAGGACACTATCTGCATGGAGTTTGCATGTTCTCCCTGTGCTTACGCAGGTTTCCTCTGGGTACTCCCAGTTTCCTCCCACACTCTAAAGACATGCTGGAAGGTTAATTGGCTCCTATCCAAATTGGCTCATGTGCGTATGAATGAGAGATGCAGATGCCTGGAGGGCAGGGACTGATGTAAATGTGCAGTATGTAAAGTGCAGGATAAATAGTTATGTAAATACCTGTAATAAATTAAAAATATTTCTAAGAAGAAAATAATTTCACATCCACATTTAAATTCAAATTCCCAAATTCTTGGCCACAGCCGGCATGGTTGATTTAACAAATAAAGGCATGAGGTCACTTATGGAACATCTTAAATAAGGGGTGAAAAATCAAACAGTTTAAAGGAGAACTATGAGGCGAATGAAAATCACTCATCCTCATAGTTCGAGGCGACGTGTGACAATGAAACTGTCACACGTCGGCTCAATAGATTGGGAGGAGGTGGCGGGCACAGCTGGCTCTGCCTATCTAGAGGCAGAGCCAGCTGTCAATCACTCAGCTGGGTGGATCTCGATAGTAATGTCAGGATCCGTCCTGGCTGCAGGGGCCTCAGTATACCGCGAGCTGTAGCTTGCGATATACTGAGCTTTGGGTCACGGGAGGATGCTAGTTTATGTCCTCCCGTGACCCTTAGGAGAACTATGGGGAAAAACACTGACCCCATAGTTCTCCTTTAAAGGAGAACTATGAGGTGAGTGCTGTTCACTCATCCTCATAGTTTTAGCCGAGATGTGAAAATGAAACTGTCACAGGTCGGCTCAGTAGATCGGGAAGTGAGCGAACACATACCGTTGTTCGCTCACTTCTCGATCCTCGATCCTAACACGGCACAGAGCCGTGACAGGGGAGGGACTGGATTCCCCCCTCCCCGCTCCGATCCTCCAGCGCTGACTGGCGGAACGGACGGGGCAGGGGGCGGGTACAGCTGGCTCTGCCTCTAGATAGGCAGAGCCAGCTGTCACTCATGCAGCTGGGCGAATCCAGACATAATTGTCAGGATCCGTTTCAGCTGTGGCGTCTGCAGCTCGCGGTATACTGAGCTAAGGGGAACGGGAGGACGCTAGTTTGTGTCCTCCCATTACCCTTTGGAGAACTATGGGGAAAAGCCCTAACCCCATAGTTCTCCTTTAAACAAAGAATCTTAGTGCTGTGCTTTTCCTTAACAATAAAGCTGTACCTTGGGTAATACAAACTGTGCTCAGGTATTTCTCCAACTTCAACATTCTGTACAAAATCCAACTACACATCCAAGCCTACACAACGTATCGTGTTTGTATCTATGAATCTATTCTTCCCTCTGTCACCAGATAATGATAAACTGTACCTCCTACTCCTGGGTGAACATCTCTATACGTTTTACCAGGGTAATTTCAAGCAAGATGTCAAAACAAAGGCTGCATATAGATGCCTAACCAATAATTTTACCCTCCGCAGCAGCATCTCCTCCTCCCCACTTAGTTTTTCCAACAACTTTCACCGTCTCGTCAACCTAGTAGGTCTTATTCACATCTTCACCCACAGAAAGCAAGGCCTCTCTGCATATGCTTTATGCATCTCAACCCTTTAGCTTCTGAAAATACTTCTCAGTGCGGCTGATCTACAGAGAACTGCAGGATGAGAAAGTTCCCGGGACAGCTATGGAAAGCAATCAGATTTCTTTTTTTTTTTAACCCGTACAAGGCATATGGCAGCTGGAGGCTGACTTGCTGCTTTTCTTTCCTCTCTAGGTTATATCAGACCCTGTGCTACATCCTAATGTGCAGATATTGACCTGAGTCACAACCAATGTTTCCTCACCTTTCGAAGAGTTTTTCGTTTGGACTGGATCTCCTCTTCTTCACTGAAGACCTGGTCACTCTCTGGTGAGGAGTAGTTAACCGATGAACAGGTAGAAGTGCTGGAGACTGATCTGTCTGATTGCCTCACTAATGTCTTCTTCCCTTCTTCCACAGGCAAGATATCTACCGAGCTGTCTTTCTCTACGGACTTCCCGTTTTCTTTGTCATTATTTTGTGGTGTCATGTTGCTTTCTTGGGTTTTCTTCTCTTTTTCTGTCTCACAAGGCAACACTGTTAACTTCTGCAGGTTTTCCTCCACGTGGATATGACCTGGTTGCTCCATATTTTTGTTTTATTTTAGACTGAAAACTTCACTTGGTCTTTGAACAGTTGTACTTCTCTGTTTGCACCTGACGGATCAGCCACGACCTCTGGTTATTTGCTCTTCCATTGGCATGCCCTGAAATTTCGTTCTCAGGTTCACGCTTCTTGTCCATGTGACATCTGTGAAGAGAGTGCAAATCAACATGGAATGAACAGTCAGTCTTTACATCTTCATAAGTTTAACTTCCACTGACAGATAAGCATACTATATGGAACACTTTCCAAGTGAATCATGTAGTACAACGGGTGCATGATATTCTGTCACAACTCCGAATGCTGCAAATGATTATAAATTATATGTGCACAGAAGGTTAGAAATCAAGTGAATCCTTTAGATGCAAAAACTGAACTTCAGACATTCATAAAAATTACCATTTAATACAAAAATATATTCAATAAAGTTTATGCGCACCCAGAATAAAATGATATATTGTGTTGTATTCGTCCTTTAGGCCTCATTCACACGAGAAAAAGACAACACATACTGCTCCATGCTGCGTGTACGGCCGTATCAGGCAGCTCCCAGGAAGGACAGGTGCTCCGTGTGATTAGTACGCAACCCCTGGCCTTCTCTATGGGAGTGTGCGGCCATACGCTGCCCTACGCTCACCCGCCCTGTATGTCCATGCGGGTGTCCATACTCGTACGCTGACAGGATGGATCCCATCTGCGTCTGAGCCGGGACACCCCCGAACCAGTACAGATCTGCACTTTGGGTGAGCGTAGGGCGGCGTATGGCCATGTACTCCCATTGAGAAGGACAGGGGCTGCGTACTAATCACACGCAGCACCTGTCCTTCCAGGGAGCTGCCTGATACGGCCGTACACGCAGCACGGAGCTGTATGTGTCGGCCTTTTGTCGTGTGAATGAGGCTTTAAAGTCGCATGGCATCTTCTTTGATATACTTGGCACATCTAGACATCTAGAATTATAAAGCAAAACAAATGACAAACGCTAGAGCTGCAGCTAACGATTATTTTCAAAATCGATTAGTTAGCCGATTATTAAGTTCGATTAATCGGTTAATCGGATAAACGATAAAATACATTTATGGGAATGGGAATCATGGCACACTCACAAGTGCGTTTGTCATTTGTTTTGCTTGACCGATTTGGTGCAGTGACGCATGGGGGTTCTCAGCTGCCATTGGGATGTGCGGGATCCCTTGTGTGTTCCTGTGCCTTTAAGGAGGTTGGGCTTCCTCCTGACAAACCTGCACCCAATTTGAAATCTTCTGCCCCCATGTGCTCCAAGATGGAGACTCTCATAGTTTAGAGTTAGGACCGCACTATAAGAGGTTACCTTGGCGCGGCTATGCTCACATTTTCTGCGGAAGACGTATATCCAAACCTCTGTTATTAACCTTAGTGGTGAGACAAGTTTTTTTACATGCTGACTTGTGAGTGTGCCATGATTCCTTTCTACTGTTAGCTATAAATTATAAGGCGCATTGGCTACCTGGCTCCTGGGATTTGTCCAGCCCTGCATTAGAATTACTGTATGCCTTCCGTGCAATCTTCTTTTATTTTTTGCCTTAGGGCATCTGCTTTAACAACAAGATTTAATTCATTTTTAAATATAGCTGCTACGGTATAAGAACCCTAATTTGTGTTTAATGCAACCTGTTGCTGAGCGCTGTAGGGGACACAGGAGGTCAATATGCCCCAAAAGTACAGGGTTCCCAGACGACCTCGGGGGAAGATTCCTCAGCAGAGTGGTGTTTGCTCTGGGTACCCAATCTTATTTTTTACAGAACCTAAGTAAACATTCCAGAACGACAGATGTCTCACTGAAAAGACTGATGGTGAGACATCTGTTCCTTCTTCCATGCATTGTCTTGACATCAGGACCACAAGCAATCACCTCCTTCACACTCCTCCAAACTGACATCCCCACATATTATTTACATAACTCCTCCCAAGAGCCAGCCTACTGCTTGCATCACAAGAAGAGTACTGAGGCAGGATGCTATGATGTTTTCAGGAAGCTATGTACAGTCCCCGCTAAGATCTGGGATGCATAGAGAAGCAGAGACCCAGCGATAATGTCACTTGGTAAAAAATAAGATGTGTAAGCAAATTAATTAGAATGAGAGGGGAGGGAGAAACTAGAAACCAGGGAGGGCAAAATATGAGCAGATTAAACTTCCGCTTTAAATAAAAGTTTTTATGCTTGAAGAAGTTCAACTTTACAACGTTCCTGGGGCTCCGGAGGCAGATTGGTCAGAAGGAAAACTATGGCAAGGTAAGCTCAGACACCTTATGGTGTCCCTATTACAGAATAGTAGAATGAATAATATTAGTAGAGATTCAGTACAGAGTCACTCTGAATACAGGTTACATAAGAAACTTATATCTTTCCTTATATCAGCTTCCTAAAATCTCCTTTACAGCTGGAAAAAACTGTAATAAAGAAAGTGGGGATATGCCCCTTTCCCCTGTACACTGTGGCAGGGGTATGTAAATCACAAAAGTGCCTAAACAGAATCACAACAAATGGTATTTCACCACCACAAAGACATATTCCCACCCGTGCCTGCTTTTCACTACAGCATAATGGCGATGTTCCTACATAACATTAGAAATGACCCCATTTATATCACTTATTGCTTGGAGCTGCACAAGATGTGAGCTGGTACTGTCAATACACAGTCATTGGTTATTGACAAGTGGGCCCTTGTGCATTAAAAAAAATAGGTTTAACCTTCGCATAGAAGAAGCTTCTCTTACAGTAAGAGCTGTGAAAATATGGAATAGTGTGACGGCCAATTCACACCAGGGCTGTGCTTTAATGAAAGCTGTGCGTGCACTACTTATTTCAACGACAACGCAATGCACAGTATTGCGGTACCACGTGCCCATAGTCGATTGCATTGTGGGAGGTGCGTTTACAGTGTCATTCAAATGAATAGAAATGCAACTCCTGCACTGTTATTGCATGGTAGGCGCATTGCACAGTGTCGCGCATTATTCGCCCTGAAACAGAAGCAGGTTCTAGCCAATTCAGTAGATCGCTTCAAAAAACAGAAAGAAAATCAGGATGTGTTTCAAATGCACAAAATCTAGCTGGCTATTGCTACGAATAATAAGAAGAAGTGAAACTATAGAAAGTTGATTGAGGAAATCTCTGATTTCCTTTGGGGCTCAGGAAGGAATATTTTCCCTGCTAGAGCAGGGGCATTTATTTTTGTCTTTTGGTTAAACTCGATCGACATATGTATTTTTTTAAACCTAACTATATAATTAAACAAACTGCCTAAACATGCCCTCGGGTGATTTCCTATGGAAAAATCAGCACAAAATGCATGGCAGTTGCTGTAGGAATTTTAAATAACTTCCCCCAAAAGAAAAGAAAATATACAACAAAATATACAACAAGAAGACAACATACTGCAATGTAATATAAATTCAAAAAGCATGTGATTGTTTTGTAAGGAGTCACTGATCTTCTTTAGGAGCCGGTAGGTGAGAGATGGAGTGACAGAGACACGGCAGACTGAACCCTGGGAAAATACGCTTGAGGTAAACCAGTGGAAGGAAGAAAAGGAAGAAAAAAAAAACAACATAGGAGACTTGAGACAACTAAAAGTGATATAACAAAAAAGGTGGGCAGTGTGCATTCACATAGGTTTCAATGAGGTAGCAAGACATTAGAGAAAGGTGGAACATATTTGGCTGCTGAAAAAAAGTAGAGAAGGGAAGGTTGTGATTAAAGCAGGGGTGGACAAATTAATTTGGAATTCAGGAACCAGTCAGTCCAATCCAAGAGCTTGCAGGAATTTTTTTTAGGAGTCAGCTCCATAGACAACAACTAGAGAAAACCTCAAAAGTTAGGCACCAGCTGTAATGTTTAAGGCTCATTGAGTACCTGGATCCTAGGATTTGCCAAGCCCTGTATCAAGGCATGCCTGTCAACTACAAACAATGGAGACTGCCATTTTAACGTTTACCTGTACTGAGTTTGCAAAGTAGCTATTATACAGTAAGTGCCAGACGTTTGGGTTATAAAAATCCTCTGCACAGCAGACCATTGCTGCCTGCAGAAGGTAGTCAAAAGCTAAACAGCAAGGATGGGGAAATCCCACCCACCAGGCTATTTGACAGTGGTGGGTGTGCTGCCGTCAGAATACCCAAACACTGATTGCAGCTGAGGCTGTACATTTTCGGACAGGTTAAAACAGGTCAATCAAGAAAAGGAAATGCATTGAGCAGGAGGACACATGCTGACATCATTGCCCACCCCAGAAGTCCCAGTAGGACAAGAACGGGGAAGATCTGTGTATCGTGTGCAATATTCTGGTGCTATGGAAGCACCTTTGATTGTGAATCTGTTTAACCAGTTGACATCCGCGGTGTTAAACCCCCTTCCCAACCACCATGCCATATTTCAGCCTGTCTGAACGCGCTACAAAACGGCCTATGCCTGAAAAGGTACATGAGCTTCTTTGCGGCGTTTTTGTCGCGCGTTTCCATTGGGATACAGCCAAGTAGCCCTCGGAAACGCGCGTCGGTCGCGCGTTTTTTTACCACGAATCGCGGTAAAAACGCACGTCATGAAACGTGCGACAAACACGCATATTCGATACGCCTAGGTTTGAACAGAGCCTTAATTTGTATGATTTTAATAAAGTTGTAAATGTTTTTACACTATGGGACTTCTTGCTATTATCTTTCTTGAATGTATGCCTGTTGGAGTGGAGATTGACTGGATATTGTAAAGAAGTCTTATTGTGTGGCAAATATTTTTAGATGCTGTTTGACCATTTTTGTATTAATGGTACATGAAAAAGACAGCTATTCAAGCATGACATTGATTGCAAAACTGCAGGGTGAGAAGAAAAATAAGCTTTTTTGATATTTTTTTCAGAAAGAAGAAATCAGAACAAAGAAACACAGACAGCGAACAGACAATAATCAGATATTTTGTTTTTACTGAAGAACATCTTTTTGTTCATCAATGTACACTCAGTGCGCTCAGACTATACTCAGAGGCAGATTATACTATTATTATATAGCGTTAGTATCTGCCCTTTCAATCTTCTCTCCCCCCCTCCTTTCCCTCCACTTCAGATCGGTGCTTCAATGAGGGTTGGCTCAGGACCAGCGGGAATAGGACATTTTGAGGTTCCCACAGGCACACTGTGTATCCTCCACTGTCATGCCAGGGATGGCAGCTCCAGGGATGTTGGCAGAAATAACAGCGTTTAGGAATCCAGGTAAAGTGAAACACTGGAGCTTAGTTAGGCCAAAGATGAAAACACAGGGAGCAGAACCCTCACAAGGGAACATGTATGATTGGGGTACACAAGTACACAGCCTGGTGCAGACATTGTGAATGCAGAATATGGGACCCTAGTTCCTCTACACAATTGGCACTGAATAAAGAACTAGCAGGATTCAACAAATACAAGAATGGTGAAGGAGAAATCACTAAAGAGTTTAGAAAAAGAAAGCACAAATGTCTATCCATCTTTACTCCCAATACAGCCACATCAATATAACCAAAGTATAGATAAATATCATAGCTATAAGACGTATATGCCATATGCTGCCTAAGGAAGGAAAGTCTATAAGCAAATCATAAAGCCAAGCATACATGCAATTAACTTGTGTGATATAAAAGATTCCATAATTGTCAATCTCACAGCATATGGAGTGAAAATCATACAGATGTCCACCAAGCGTCAAGGCCTATCGAATGGCATGGAAAATGTCTACCAACTTGCTGTTTGCTTACTAAGCAAATACACATCCGACAGGCACGGAGATGTTACATAGTTACATAGTATTTGGGGTTGAATAAAGACATATGTCCATCAAGTCCAACCCATATAGGTCCACGCATCATCTCATTCTTAGGGATACTTGTATCCCTGAATATTACGGTTCACCATCTTGGAACTACCCTGTATACTGATGGCTTCCAGCCTCTGAAGACTTACTGCTTGAACACACAAAACTCAATGATCACAAATGCTGCTTGGAACCCTTAAGTTGGGCACCCAACATAACGGATTGTCTCAAATTTCAGCCAATTCTCACTGAATGGGACACAAAATTTGATCGGTGGGTAGCCCAGATGGCACCACCTGGTTCGACAAAATATGTTTTTTCAAACAACTTTTGTGGAAGGAGGCAGCTGCAAAATGATAAGCCAAACAGTGAATCAGATGTAGGCTGGGTATAATAGCATGGCAGTGGCGATTGCTAAATGCTAACACTTTCCATGCAGATTGTATTTGGAGTTCCTAATCAAGGAACGATATTTTGTATACAATGACTTCCTGAAGCAGAGTTGGGCCCACTACCTTCCACTTTTTGCACCTCACTATCTGGCCAGAGGGAAGGAGTGGGCCTGAGCTTAAAGAAGAACTCCTTGAAAACTTTTCTCAACCCTTGCATGGGTCTACCCATACACTGGAAGGGTTAAGTGCTATTTTTCGTCTAGAGTCCAAAAAAACAAACTTAAACTCCCGCGAACCATGGACCCAGTTGGCTGTTAGAGCACTCCCTCCAGCTGGGATCCTCCTCTGCTCCAGCAATGGTATGTCCCTCGGCCTCCTCACATCTAATACACAGTGTATTGAATGTGATGATTCACAGGACCTTAGATCCTTGGTTCTCAACTAGTGGGCCGTGACCCTAAAGTGGTCGCGAGTCCGTGTTCACTGGGTCACCGCATGCCTTCCACTTTTCTAGGCAAGAGGCTTCTCAGCCTCCCCCTAGCGCAGCACTGTCCATTCTTACACCGAGCAGCCATTTAAAATATGCTGCCCTTTGGCGAGTGTCTACTTGAGGTGAGGTGGGGTGGGCTGGGGGTATGGCCGTGATGTGGACACCTGGAAGAAGGACTCCAGCAGGAAGTGAACCGAGAGAATAAGGGTGATCATGTGACCGCAGCCGAGGGTAAGTGAAAAATGGCACCTAGAAAGTTTTGAGGTTTTTTTTTTAGCCCAGTGATCACTGAGGGGAGGGATGGGAGTTTTTTAAGTTATCCTGGAGCTACGTGCTTAAAGACACCTCAGTGCTTCCTGTGACAGCCAGGGCGATAGGCATACACTAGTGCTGGTTAGAGATGGAGATGAGGACTTAGCGCTGTTAATCCTGCATGTTTTGGGGAAAAATAAAGTGCCAGCGAAACTGGTAATGGAGCAATGCTCAGGGAAATGATGGGTTCACTTAAAAAACTATATACATGGTCGCTCTGGTGCAACATCTACCTTAGTGGGCAGCACAGTGGCTTAGAGGTTAGCACTTCTGCCTTACAGCACTACAGCACTCCAGTTCTTGGCTTGAATCTTGGGTTCTCCCTGTGCTTCTGTGGGCTTCCTGCCACACTCCCAAGACACGCTGGAAGGTTAATTGGCTCCTGTCTAAAACCGGTCCTGGTATGCGTTTGCCATTTAGGAACCATAGATTGTAATCTTCTGGAGAGCAGAGACTGATACGAGCGTACAATCTGTACAATGCCACATAAATTGTTGGTGCTATATACACTGCCTGTCCAAAAAAAGGTCACCACCTGGATTTAGCTAAGCAAATAGACCAGAGCTTTCTATTGGATAATAGGTCTAGGTTCAGCAAAGTTATGTACCCTACAAAGGGTACCTGAATATACTGAATGATCAGGTTTTTCCATCAATGTATTTTTTTTTCTTCCCTGATGGCACATTGGGCATATTCCAAGATGACAATGCCAGAATTCATCGGGCTCAAATTGTGAAAGAGTGGGTCGAAAGCAGGAGACATCATTTTCACACATGGAATGCCCACCGTAGAGTCCAGACCTTAACCCCATTGAGAATCTTTGGGATGTGCTGGAGAAGAATTTACGCAGAGGTCTGACTCTCCCATCATCACTACAAGATCTTGGTGTAAAATGCAACTCTGGATGGAAATGAATGTTGTGACATTGCATAAGCTTATCCAAATGATGCCACGGTGAATGCGTGCCGTAATCAAAGCTAAAGGCAATGCAAGAAAATATTAAAGTGCGTGACTTTTTTTGGGACAGAAAGTGTAATTACCCATAATGAAAAGTATGTGTGTGCGGGTCTACAAATCCCAACGGCAGACCCTGGTAAGATTGTGTTGAGTGGCTAATGGAGCTTTGGTACCAATTTCAGACATGGAGCCACAGCAACAGAAGGTTAGAAGTGCCCCAAAGATCACGCCGTGGTCATGGTAGTAGTGATGGGGTCTGCCTTAGTAAATAGTGGAACTTTGCAGGGAACTCTCCATGTGGATCCATAGTAAAAGCAGATACACAGGACACTCGAACTGTAAAAAGACATAGTCCCTGGGATTCATAAAGAGTCACATAGACACTCATTAAGCTGTCCATACACTAGTTCAGTGGTTCTCAACCTGTGTAACCTCAAGACCCACATTTGTCCTTGATCATTAAGTCGTGACCCAAGATGCACTGCAATGGAACGCAGTGTGGGCTGCTCTGCTGTGATGGCGCTCCATCCATATGTGCATCGTTTGGAAAGCTTCCTTGCACCCCCTGTAGAGGTGCCGGGAGCCAGATTGTGATGTAACTCCGGTCCAGGCTCCTCTACAGGGTATGCGAGTGAGCTGTAAGCAATGCAAGTATGGATGGAGCTCCCTCGCAGGCATAGCCCCAGCCCACCCCACCCCACCCCACCTTAACCTGACACTCAGCACCGGGCAACATATTTTGAATGGCTGCTTGGTGCGAAAACTGACAGTCCTGCGCTAGAGGGAGGCTGAGGAGCCTCTCACCTAGAAAAAGGAAAGGCACACGGGGACCCACTGAACACGACCCACTTTTGAGTCACGACCCACCAGTTGAGAACCAAGGCACTAGTTGATTCAACTCGTCCAAAATTCAAGCAGTGTGTGGCCTGGTCGGCACCCGTCCATGCAACAAAAATCAATTTTTCAATTGACTATCGTCAAAGGAGCCGGTCTGAAAATTCTCAGGTGACTGCGGCCAATGAGCTGCAGTCACTGTTCAGGTTATCTGACGGCAGCACCCCACTGCTGTCATCATACAATAGCCCCGGAGGGGGTATTCCCCCTTCCACGCTGCTAGTGGGGCTGAATAAGGAATAAACTCACAGCGTATGGCCAGCTTTAATGCCTCCCCTCTGTAAAACAAATATCAGTGAGTGTGACAGATTCATGCACAGGTCAGAAACATATCAAATCATTTGTTTTATGGGTGCGCCAGAATAACTCCACCGTCACTTTGGTTTTATTTACCGGCAGTTTCCTTAACTCCAAATTGGTGGTATTTCTAAAGCTCACCACGCACATTACAATCTGACCGTACAATCTCTAAAGGAAATTGTACAATCAGATTGTGAGGTGTGTGGCGAGCTTTAATGGATTTGCCGCAGACTTAGGGACATATTGCAGAAGTGCCGTAATATAGAAATATAGAACTGATTGAAATTGTCACACAGGTCAGAAGTAGCTCTGAAAATGATTTTGGCGCTATGCTCTATATTACAGCAATGCAGCCAGCAATGCGTCACTAACGCTCTATAGGATCCCCCCAATATCCTACATAGATGTGTGCTCTGTTATTATTGCCATAGACAAAGCACTGTCAGAAGTCAGTATAAGAAGACTGACACAGCAGGGAAACTTGCAGGATTGCCCAGACTTCAAATTACCTTTGTCTGGCACATGTCACCTCCTATTCATTAGGCTGGCACACTGCATTCCTGCAGCAGGCTCCCCATCTCCCTTCAGTACTGCTGTGCCAGCTACCCCGTGCTCACACCGCACACACTCAGTGATAGCTGTACAAACACTTCATGTGCGAGCTATACCATCACTGAACCTCTCCCTATTTCCATACAAGACCCCCATAGACATCTATGAAGCTCTTACCGGTCTGCACGCTCTTCTCCCCTTTTCTTTCCTCCAGTGTCCGAAGAATACTTTTTATGTCAGTACAAGTAGGCGGGGACAGGCGGGGGACGAGCGGCCAGGGGCGGCGCTACACTACTTCACATGGATCGACAAAAAAATGAATGCTAGGCGCCCTCTGATGGTGGATCTGCGTCATAACAGCCTTTCGCATTGACAGTTCAGGGATTGGCATTTCTTACATTACCAGTGATGAGCATTCCTCAGCCATTGCCGAGCTTCTTCTGGAAATACCACTTGCCTAGCTACTGTGCTAACCAACTGGCTTCAATACTGTTTTAAAGGGGAAGTATTCGGCAGAGTAAAATGCACTTAGAGCCAGCTCTATATATCAAGAGCTGAGCACTCACGAAACGTCCAATAAAAATGTTTTTATTAGTTTCGTCAAACAAAACAAATGTTTGTGCTATTTTGGATTTGGCCACCACCGCATTCTGCGCATTGTGCGCTACCACGCTGGAGGCGGGGCGCATGACGTCACATACCGCACACGTCTGTTGGGGGGCACAATTTTCTGTTCTTGCCGCGGGCGCAAAAGGAGCAAGCTACGGCTCTGCAGTCACGGCTGCCTGCAGGGATTCCCCCCTCCCCTCTCTCTGTTCCTTCTGCAGTCATTGGAAGGACAGACATAGGAGGGGGCGGGCACACCTGGCTCTGGCTCTAGAGAGGCAGAGCCCAGTGGTGTCACAATGGGGGTGCGGCCGGGTGACACCAAAATGACTGACAGTCTATGAAAAGTCGGACAGTGTTACGAGTGAGGAGGGGACCTGGCAGCATACCATCACCCAGATGGCCACCGGCAGGCGTCAATAAGACGTCCGTGCACGTGTGATGACGTCATTACGCAGGGCAAAGTCACACGCATGGTCTCCGCTCCGGGTGTCACCCAGCCTAGTCAGCATTTAGGTCCAAAAAGTACATTAATAACAATGGCGTCACAAGGGGGGTGCGGCCTGCACCGGGTGACACCAAAATGACTCATAGTCATTTTAGTGTCACCCCCTCTGAAAAGTAGGGCACTCGTTCATGGGCTGAGTGCCCGACAGCTGTACAGGGGCCCGGGCGGCATACCTTATCCTGACGGATAAACGTCCCCTCCTCTCTCTGCCGGTGTCCATCACCGAGATGGCCGCTGGCAGTTACCTGCGCATGACATCATTACGCGCGTGCGTGATGACGTCATGCACACGTGCAATAATGGCAAACGCGTGTGTAATGGTGTTGCGGCAGGTGACACCTGGAGGCTGCTACAGGTGACACCCTGCTTGGGGATATAATATACTCCTCTGACCCAAAAGAGCACTAAAGCAAAAAAAAAGGTTTGGCTTTAGTCTCTTTTAAACTCTAGAATCAGTCAGGCAACTAGCATTTTCAGGACACGCAGTCTAGCAGTGGCAGCTAACATATTTCACTAAGAAACAGTTGTAAGGGAACCTGTGTCGAAAAAGTAGCTGTAATTGCTGACCTGCAACTGCACATGCTAGCTGTCTAGTCTCTGTCTTCGGTATGTGGAGACACAGACCTGAAATAAACATGCAGATGAGGAGTGGTCAGCCATTACATCTAAATGACAGTCAGTAAAGGAGACCTGAGCAATAACATCCTTCATACTTTACCACTAGAAGTTCTTCAAGGGTCTGTTCATGGCGGCTGGTGTGCGCTGGCGCAGATCACGGGGCATCACACTGTTTACTTGTTTTTGCATTGGGACTGTGATGGAAAAGGCTTCTAATGCAGCCCCAATGCATCTGATGTGAATGGGCCCTAAAGATAATCTTGTGCTGGGAACTACAGAAACCACATATGCTGGTTTCTTTTTATTACAAATGCTAGTTGTCTAGCTGTCATATTGATAAAATAGCTTTTCTGTTCAATCATTTTTATTAAGGATCTTCAAATATATATACCATGTGAATATATGTAACAATGGATACAAGCTTTTATAGTTACAAGAACAATAGTCGCATTCAACATCTGAGGTGCCAAATACAAACATATAAAGATGACAATTGTGCATCAAGAGATATAACAATTCACTGAACCAGTTGAAGTTGGTTAGTCATCCAGACAGCGTTTCTTCTTCTACCTGAGGGTAGCTCTTAGCAATAACATATCAATAAAGGGAATCACATTGCTGAATAACACTGTAAATCAGGTCTGTTTTCAGATGACCAGCTCCTAGCTTTGAAAGGCATTTTAAGTAAATTAAAGACAACCTGTCACTCTGACCACTAAGGGAAAGGTGACAGGTTTTCTTGTATGAACAACCTCCACAGCTGAAACTATCACCATGCCTCTCTGTGGCTTCATTGCTCTGTTGGAGTCCTCAGTAAATACATGGTCCTTCTGGGTGTGAAGTAGTATATGACCTCCTCATAGGATACAGAGCTTGGGCCTGAGAAGCCAATCACCAGGCCTGAATACTGTCACAAGTGGAGCAGGAAAAGTTATACCTGTGTAATCTCCGACACAGCGTGACATGGAGCTTACACAGGGGTTTATTTATTTTTTTAAAAACTGCAGAGCTATTAATCCTGCGAGACTGCATGTACATTTGTTCTTTGGGAATAGAGGCAAAAACAAACGTTATTAGCATATTTTCTTTTCAGGTACAATGTAATACCAGGAAAATACCAAATTATGGCCACTAGATGGAGCAGAGGAGCATAGGAAAGATGTATTTATTCTCTGTGCTCTTCTGCTCCATTTATTGCAGTTTTTACAGAAATTACATTTGACCTGGAAAGAAAATATGCTAATATCGTTAGTTTTTGCCTCCATTTGCATGGACCATACCTGCATGCAGTTTTACAGGATGCTTGGCCCTGCAATTCTTTTATAAATACACCCTATAGTGTTTAGACTGCCAACTCCAATGGAGGAAATGAGCAGCGAGAGAACACAGGAAGATATCAGTGGGGAGGGGGTTGTTTTTACAAATCACTTCCCCCACAAATGGTAAAAAATTCCTCTTGGTGTTACATTTAGTTTGCTAAAGCACTGTGTATTATAAACAACTGCCATTATTCTTTTAATTAAAAAAGCCGTTCTCATGTTTTTTACATGTTTTGTTGCATCTAAGTGCTGCTGAGCTGCTACAGCCTCTTTCTGCCACTTCCTGTCTACATGCACTCCAGCAATGGCTATGTAGCATTTCTCAGGGCGGTTTTTCTTGGTGATAATAACAGTGCACCATGTAAACCCCACTGCAGGGGCAGGGAACAGTTTTGCCCAGAGTTCTGCTTTAAGGAAATGCTCTGATCCACTAAGATCTTCCTCTGGGGTCTAATCTACAAATCTCTACATAATATACAAAAGATAAGGAAGTGGGAGCTTGTAAGAATGTGGCAACCATGGTAAAAAGTAGTGTAAGGTAAACACTGTAATGTTTCCTCAAAATATGTGTTTACTTGAAATTCACCATAAGCATTCACCCTTATAAGAACCTGCTTACAGTATCTATTGGTATTGCGGAACTCCCAACAACAAAAATGTACGGCTGCGAGCATCTGGTGGCCTAAAGAACCCTTGTCTAAGAAAAAGCAAAAAAAGGAACACCTTTATTCAGGAAGAGTAAGTTTTATTGTCTTTTTGATTCAAGTGTTTGTTTCATCTGTTCAGCTTATTCCATAAGAAATAAAAGAGTAAGATTAAGAGTATCTACACCCAAAAACAAAAATCTAACATATTGCAGCTTACCAGTCCTTAGCTGTGGTGGCTGCATTTGTTTTCTTTTTTTAAGATTTGTTTTCCTTTTTTTCTCTCCTGGTAATCCTTGCGTACAGGGGCGGACTGACAACACATGGGGCCCCCGGGCAATACATGGTTATGGGGCCCCCTTGTGCTCCGCCCATATACAAGCCCCTCCCACAAGTCCCACCTGTATAAAGATTTGTGTGTCACAGATCAGGCAGGGACAGCCCTCTAATCAGGCATGTTAGAGGGCCTCCCGAGGCTCTAATTGGGAGTGAGCAGCCGCCTGATTAGAGATTGTGTAGAGATGTCACCAGCACACCAAAATCCTTCTTAGGATAAGCAAATGTTCATTTATTGAAGTTCCTTGTCATATAAACAACAGTTGTTTATATGACAAGGAACTTCAATAAATGAACATTTGCTTATCCTAAGAAGGATTTTGGTGTGCTGGTGACATCTCTACACAAT